GGCTGCATTTCTTGATTCATTATAGAAAATTGAAATCTTGATTCATCATAGTTATAAATGGTATAAATGGAACAGAAATAGAAATCCAATGAAAACRGTTAACATGTATGATACAAACATTAAAGCAAGTACATTTAAGTAACTTCCTTGTGACCTAGGCATCCATTTTTAACTCTTTACCTATGATTGAAAGCTCACACACCCAGGTAGCACAGAAGCCTCATAGACTCAACTCTGTTTATTGGCAATGAAAATCACATCATCTTTTATCTTTAATCAAATTACCTTKCTTAATGCAAACCCTAGAAGCCAATTAGAAGATGCAAAATCATCTGCAAGCCAATTAGAAGATGCAAAATTAACCATTGCATTAGCACCTCAACCAGAATAGAAACAAATCATGAGTGAAAGTACTAATTAATAAGTATGCAATATGAAAACATAACTTTTCTATAAAAAATAAACAACCTTGGTAGTAACTTTGGTAGTGAAAGTACTAATTAATAAGGCATTTTATTTTTTGGCCCACTTAACGCTTTACTTGCCTTATAAGCCCAATGAAATTAAGCCTTTAAAGAAGCGTTCATTGCATAAATTTGTCATTTTTGAACTACGATATAATACTAAGAGAATTAAAGAACTTGCAACACCAAAGGTGACTCACATATGTTCACAAAAGAAAAAAAATGAAATCTACTTATACCACACTAACCCTTTGCACATCAATGAGATAGCCTCCAAGATTTTGGAACTCTTCCTTGGACACATGAATCGACADATCTATGTTTGGTCCTTTTTGTTGTAAAAAAATGTGATCTCTTTTGGAACACTAACCTTCATACTATGAAGGAAAACATAGAAAAATAAAGTGGAATGAGTGAYCAAATACTTGTTGGACTTTTAATCAGTTGTGCAAGTTTTAATCAATAATCACATTCAAACTTTAAAACATGCAGAACACTACCAAAAAACTTTGTTTTATAGTTAATYAGAACAATTTTACCAARAAGAATAAGCCCTTTTATAAGAGCTTTCATACTTCATACATTATCGAAATATGAAGAGAAACGTCAATAAAGTCGAAAAACCCATGACACTAAGAAAATGCCATAACAAAGCTAGCGATAAGGGGGCACATATGTTTACCTTGATGGTTTCATAGTGATTCCAGCCAACCTCAGATGATAATTGGCCAAGCAAGCAATACTTGTGTCCAACTGTAAGCCTCAAAACCCTTCATTTTTATTGACAAAAGTATTGCAACTACACATCATACTAAACAAGCAAACAATAAAGCATTCCAATTCAAAAAAACCCAGAAATAACATAAAAGTGCTGATAGAAAGGATATAGACTAACTTGAGAACATCGGGGATAACCATCCTCTTCTTTCTGTTGTAAGGAGTGGGAACCCCTTCGTAAACCTTCAACCTTGCAAGTGCAGCAGGACCACGCTTATAGATGATGGAAAAACATTTGGACCGTAACATATGAATTGAAGAGAAAAATTATAGTGGAAATCAAAATCACYTCTAAAAATGGAAATGGAAATCATAATCAAAATTGAAATCGAAATCAATAGGGTTTTGAAGAGCATACCTTCAAATTGAAATGGAAATCTCTAGGGTTTCGAATAACCCGTGAAATTAAAATATCAGAAATAGGGAGTGATATGTATTGATGAGGTTATGATACATCAAATCGTTTGATACATGAAATCTCTTTTGAAGACTGTGAGAGAAGAAACCATCTGTTCGAGCAGATTGAACATATGTTCGAGGTGATACATCAAAACCACCATGTTAACCTGTTCGAGGTCCCTGAAGGAAGAAAGCTATCTCTATCTGATCCATTTATGTTTTGGCGCATATGAGAATATAGAGAAATAGGAATTTAGAAATAGGGAAGGAAAAAACACTTTTGAAAGATTCYCRTTTGGTGTTTGGGAAAACCCTTAGCATAAAAAACTTGTACCTTATGCATAAAATTTGGTAATTAAGAGATTTTTGAATTTGTTGCATAAAATCATTGTAACATATGCTTTAGGAGTTGTATTTAAGACTTTGTCTTAAATGCTTATATATGTAGTATAGATAACAAATATATGAACAAATAAGAACATATTACCAGTACCTTTCCACTTTTCAGGCCAAGCATTCAGTTATTCAAATATCATACTCCAAACTTTTATAGGTTTGAACCAACCAGGTTTCATATAATGCCATTTTTAAACCTTTTCAATTAAACAAGGTTTATTTAAAGTTTCAGGCTAAACCTATTATTTTCTCCTCAATAACATCCAGACTATGATTTTCAATAAGAACACTGATCTTAAATCTTTAAATCACAAAGAAATAAAGATTTCAGACAGCAGTAATCTTAAGAGATATGATAGTAAGAGTTATATTATATAACACACATACAATTGCCACCCTTATATCCAAATGTACACCTTTCCTTGATAGGACACCCTTATCCCATGGTACACCTCTCCTTGATAGGCCACCCTTATCCCATGGTACACCTCTCCTTGATATGCCACCCTTATTTTCTTTTCAAAATATTTCACAAAACAATTCCAATTAGACTGCAGTCTATGGAATTATTATCAGTTTAAATTAATCTTTTCAAAATTCCCTGTTTATATATCAAAACAAGTCAAAATACAAATTTCGTCAAAATAGACTTGGTCGGACTTCATCTCCGGTCAAGATTTGGCTGATTTACCAAATCCGGACAACACATTGTTCAAAGCTTGTCCGATTTAACACTTAAGAGAATTTCAATACTTTTGTTCGGATAACAAATCCGGACAACACATTACCCAAGGCCTGTCCGATTTAAAATAATCCGGTCAACACATGGTTGTATTCATACTTCTCCGATCAAAATCAACTCAATATTCATAAAACGCTCAACACTTGTCCGATTTAAGACTAAACCGCTTGACTCTTGACCGGTTTAAGTCTAATCCGGACAACACTTATCAAGTGGTTTATTTATATATCGCTCATGCCTTAACTGGTTTAGGGCTTAAATCGCCCAACCTTTGTCCGGTTTATGGCTA